TCATTCTTGTCTACATCTGCTCCGGCGGTGAAACAATGGCGGACTGATGACAGCTCACTCAGGGTGGAGCTAAGGTAAGACGGACTTGTCAATCAACAATCGTGGGAGGGGCCTGTGCAGAACTACGTCACTCTGACAGGAATCTCAGAACAGCCTGATTTGAGAAAGATGATTTTTAAAAAACCACTGGGTGGACTTTTATCATTATAGGGTGGATGTGTACACACACTTCCAACACACATTTATGTTCAAACAACAACAAAAGTGAATTTTGCATCCGATGACCCCTTTAAATTTTTTTGCACCCTCAGATTCCAGTTTTTCAAATATTGTCCGATCCTAACAAACCATACATCAATGGAAAGCTTATTTATTCAACTATAAATCTTTTTGCACCCTCAAGATTCCAGTTTTTCAAATATTGTCCGATCCTAACAAATCATACATCAATGGAAAGCTTATTTATTCAACTTTCAGACGATGCATAAATCTCAATTTTAAAAAAAATGTACCCTTATGACTGTTTTTGTGGACCAGGGTCACATATTAGGTTACATTATATAGGCTATTATTGTTAACTAAAATTTAAACCATTAAAAAAAAAACATTTTCATTACTTGAGATAAAATAAACATTACATATAAAAATATATATTAAAACATTTTTTTTTTTACATTTTAGCTAGTTGTCAAGGCAACATTATATTAGCAGCAACACACATGATCTGAGGAACCATTGATATATACGAGGCACCTCTGAGCCATTTGGAGTCGTATTTGATGGTCCGCAGGACGGGTCGCCCCTCTCCACCCAAACTCCTGTAGATCACAGCGTCACTCGCCTGGAAGTCCGTCACTGTGGCCGAATAGAAATGACCACCTGACATACAGAGACAAAAATAAAACATCAGTGAAAGAGTCAATCAAACTGTGGTGTCTGGCTGAAATTTAAGACTGCCAATCAAGAGCAATTTAATCATTTACATTACATTACTTTTATCCAAAGCGACTTACAAATGAGGACAATGGAAGCAATCAAAACTAACAACAGAGTGATACATGTAAACATGTAAATATTAATCATTAAGTGCCATGTTAATACCACCGATTCATTTACATAGTTCCATAATTTCCAACTATTCTCATTTCGATTTCAAAACTCTTGGTCAACAATCCACAATAATTGCTCAAAGTTCACAGAACTTTAAAGTCTCATTATTAAAAAAAAAAAAAAATGAATGAATAAATATTACATTTTAGTGAAAACTTAGTAGAAATATCTACATACCACAATTACATTTAACACCACATTTTTCATACAAAGATACATACATACATACATATAATCAATCATCAAGAGGTCTGTGATCAGACAAAAAGACGGAATACAAAAACAATCATATTATTAATAATAATAATAATAATCAAAATACGGTTTTATTTTATCATTTAAATTATAAAATCAAATCAATAAAAAATATATATATATTACTATTTACTGTAAAATAAAATGTTTTATTTTTTTATTATTAATGATAATAGTAGCACTAATAATATTTATCATTATTATTGTCTTTGTTATTTCACAGAACAACAGTAAAACTGCAACACTAATATTCAGTATGACTATACAAAAATAATAGTTTATTATTTAAATTGTAAAAATTAAATACAAATATATTTACTGTAAAATAAAGTCTTTATTAAATACATTTTATTTTATTATTATTAAATATTATTATTGTTGTTTAAATAGTTTTAGCAATTTTGTTGCATTTTTAGATTCATAATATTCTTTTTTTTGTATATGTCTATATTAGTTTTCATTTTATTTAAATTTGAGGTATTTTAGCACAAAGTTGAACGGAAAATGAGAAATGCTACCCTGGCAACTAAATGAAATTTGAAGTTTAAGATTTTTTTTATTTTATTTTGTTTAATTTTATTTCAAGTACGATGGATGGATGGACGGATGGATAGATCGGTGGATGATGGATGGTGGATGATGGAATGGATAGATGATGGATGGATGGATGGATGATGGATGGATGATGGATGGATGGATGGATAGATGATGGATGGATGGATGATGGATGGATGGATAGATGATGGATGGATGGATGGATGAGGCATTTTTAATGCTGGTAATGTGGTTATGGTGTTAGTTCTAGTTAACTACAGTACTCGTGGTGTGTTTCAGCATCTCACCTGCAAACACTCCTACGTTGGACTGGTGAGACTCGAATGGACATCGGGCCTGACCCAGCAGCTCCTGACCGACCTGCTCCAGCGTACTCAACTGAGCACAAACAACACAAACAGAAGCAGCGTGAGAAACTCCTGCGTGAATGTGAGGAGTCAAATCTGTGTCACTCACTCTGTAGTTCCTGCAGGCCGGGTTCAGCGCGTTCGTTCCACACGCAAACAGAGTCTCGTCGTTACGAGGCACAAGAACCTTGATGTAATTATAGCATTCATCCTGAAAAACAAGATGTTTTCATGTCAAACTGGAGCATTAAAGAGACCCAGTTTTTTTCAACTGCTTACACACAAAATCTTTACTTGTCAAGGCAAGGCAATTTCTAAAACCAGCAGAAGCACACACCAAATCTGCAAAAAATACGCTAGCTCTCGGCCTTTGACTCGGTTTTCAATTTCATAAAACACTTTTTGCAAAACACAACACACAACTCTCTGCGTAACACACAAAAATCTAACAGGAAGTATCTTGACTTATTTTTTCAAACACAACCAATCAAACAGCCACACTAAGTACTATCCAAAAATATGATATTATGGCAAAAGTGTTTGCAACGTGAGACATACGTGTGCTTTTGAGATGTGTTTGTGATATTTTGAATGCAGTGCTTCGTTTTTGCAAGAGATGTGAGGCATTTTGCATTTCGTGTGTGCAGTTCTTGGATTTTGATTTTTTGACACTTTTTTGAAACCAATCATAAATGGTCAGAGGAAAACATAAGAGAAGGAAGTTAATATGAGGTGTAAGCATCTGCTGAATGTCTCTGAAGGTTCATGGCAGTGACAGTTTTCCGTCAGTAGGACTGAAGAGACATCTTTTGTCCAGCTGTGTCGTATCAGACGCTCTTCATCTGATCTCCGCTCTGCTTGGATGGAGATACTTACGCCGTTTCTTCCTCTCACGGCACACTTTGACACGTCTGTAGATCTCCACGTCAGTATCTGAAAACACAGATCACCATGAGCCCTCGTGTGTGACAGATCAAATCAGTTTCATCTTTTCCCCCAAATTGTTTATTTTTAAATTTTTCTAGATTCTGTTTTAATGGTTAAATTAAATGCAATGGTTCAATCAAA